ATTTACAACTTTTTATACACTATACACAGTTACTTGTCTTCATCTTTTTTTGTTTGACCATCTTCTATTTGGATTTTCTTTGTTTCTTTTATAATTTCATCTAGTTTATGTAAATCTTTAAGAGACACTTGTCCAGTACCCCTTTCTAAAGGTTTTGGCTGTGATGTATCTGGCTTCCATCCTAGTAGATACATTACTTGAAATGTAGCAGGTACATAAGAAGAACCATTTTCTGTCACTTTTCCATACAGTTCTTTATATATTGCAGCTGCCGCAAGAACGGTATCCTTATTTAAACGCAATTTTCGATTTCTAATCGCATTATTCTCAGCCATCCCTATAAAATCACTGACCGAAATAAAATATTCGTGAAATTGTCAGCAGATAAAAATTTTTAAGTAGCACCTTTTAAGTCCCACATTAATTCAAATATGCTTGGATATCCGATTACAATTTCATCTGTATCAATTGTTAACATAGTAAAATTAGCTCTTGTTAACAAGCCTCCGACGTCTCTAATCTCTGCGAATGGAGAAATGTGTGCAGAAATTCCACCATCTCTTTCTATTTCTGCCAGCTGCAAAGAACTTCTGAAAAAGTAAGATAATCCCACGTTAGTATTGTCAGTCTTTCGATTTGCCTTTGAAATTTTACCTCAATTCATACAATGTTTCTCCTCCGAACATAGCTGCCAAGAATACTCCATCGTTCTTTAAACTCTCGTTAATACTTCTGAAACATCTAGGTAAATCGTTTACCCAGTGCAAACTCAACGAACTTATTACTAAATCTAGACTGTTGGGCTCAAAAGAGAAATCTTCTTCATCCATAACAGTGCGTGATACTTTGAGCCCTTCAGTTGTTTCTGCCTGCTGTACGAATGCTGAGGATACGTCAGTCAAAATTAATTCGCCGACAGTCTCTGGCAGAATGTGTTTAGACACGTGCCCGCGACCACATCCTAAGTCGAGTACCTTTTTGAAGTCTCTTTTTATATCAAACACTCTGTCTGCGAGTCTGTATCCTACTTCGTCTTTGATGTAATCGTACAGTTTCACATCGGCTGCTTGTGCAGCCCGTTCCCTTTGAAGCATCTTCGCATTTCTGTCGAATATGTACATCACGCTATCCGGTGGTAAGGCAAAATTTATTGCACTGTGATTTATGTTACGGATACATCGAATATTGAACGTGAACGAATGTAAACAATGTTCGAGGAGGACGTGCATTCTCTGTTTTTGAAGATTCTTTATTTTACAACGAATAGTTAAATAATATCGACATTGATATTATTCACAATATCTTGTAATTCAGCATTATTTAATGCAGTTTTACTACTATCGGCGAGTTCCATGTGGCTCGCACCTTGCGTAACTTAACCATAAAATAACGATACGTATTTAAAATTTTGTGAAGATTTCATGAAAATGTTAGAATTCAACTTAGTGCTTATAGTAAATTATCCGAGTAAAAATAGTAAGATAATAATTTTGATACGTTCATTTACGAGATTATGTACAGCTTATGTGAAGGGTTTAGAGAATAAATATAAAGATATCATTCATTCAATTCTTGTGGTAACATTTTATTATTACATTGTCTTCATGTTTAAATATCTACTATTACAATGAAATGGTTTACAACGTATGGTTTTTAAACTGTAACAAAAAATGTTTCATTAAGAACAATCTATTTTTTCAATGCATTTCTTCATATTTTGTCAATTAGTGATCAAGTTGTTAGATGTCCATTTAATATTGCATGATGCATATTTTTCCTACATCATATTTGAAAATTTATAAATTATCTACATTTGGATAGATAAACCTCTGATATTTAATAGTTGTATAATTACATGCATAAAAATCAGGGCCGTTTCAATTCAATGTGAATATAATATTCGTATGTGTAGAATTTTATAACACATTGTTTAATGCCATAGTTATTATCACATATGTCTTTGAAATACAATAACGTTTAAAAATGGTACACATTCTTCCAAAACCAGTGTAAAGCGGATTGGAAACAATTTATAATAAATACAATATTGCTTCAAACTTAGGAATATAAATATACCATGATCAGAATATTCCTTATTTCAGTATATATAAGTAAAAAATCATTCATAATTATAAAAAAAAATTAGAAAATTTGAAACAATGACATAGAAATATAGAAGTTGTTAGATTTTAAAAAATATAAATTAATAAAGCGATCACTATTTTGGCTTTGGAATAATGTAATTCAATACTTTTAAAAATATCAGATTAATGATTGATTCTGTAAGGCAGGACTCACTCAGATGTATACTTCACCAGTAAAGTTCTAGATTTAAAACATTAATCACCTAAATACATACTGTATTCGTCAAAGTGGATAGTTCGAATGTTACAACATATACAAGAAATATAAAATAAGCGCTAATAATATTCAAGCATGTATAATTGAATATATGTCGTATAAAAACTTTTAAAGTCACGTATATAAAATAGAAGCGTTACACTAAGTTTGAAGCAGCAAAAAACTATGACTTCTTATTGTAGGCTTACTTAACTTTAAGAATGAATATGATGGCATTTTCTTCTAATGATTAAGAATAAAAAGTTATGCAAGAGTGATGGACAGAAATTAGTAAATGTATAAATATTCTTCGAGTATAAAAGTCTTAACTTCGAGCTTCGCATTGTTAACCTTTTTTAATGCTAATGTTCGATACAAAATTCTTAATTAACGAAGTTGCATATTAACGTTTACAATATAATTAAGTACAAATATTTAAAATACCGAATGTCGATTGCAATTAAAATGAATTGCACATATATTTCTTATTATGCGCGTAACGAAATGTATCACATCTTTGCGTGTTCTGCCTTTTAACATGATAAAAGTTACACATAATTCTTCTCACTCGTGATCATTGAGAAAATATTAAAGTCAGTCCTAAATATTACTAGAAAAATTTGTACAATTACATATATAATCACAATTGAAAAGAAAAAGAATATTAATATACTTCGAGGCACAATATATAATATTACACCTGCACCTGCAACCTAGAAAAATGTTTGATAATTCGTTGCGTATTTCAATTTAAAACACGAGAGTAGATTCACTACTGCTTCTTAAAGGTAATAAGTATATCAAGATAAATCTATTATTTGTAATGAATATCTGATGAAATATAGATAGCGAAATAATATGAAAGCAATAATACACATCTATTATACTAATATGGTTACTATTGAAAGATTGGATTCTTCTTCTGCTGTTTAGTACTGCCACAAAAATATAATTATTTTTTCTATAATACAATGTTTAAATAACGCTTCTAGATTCTTTACCATGATTATGTGTATACTGTGTGTAAATTCATTGGATAAAACATGATTCAAATAATATTTCAGATAACCAATTAATTTGCAAACGAAATTTGTATAGAGCATATTACGATAATATCGAAGGCTCAACACTGTACTTGATAAGAGTAATGAAGCCTCTTCACTGCTTTTTCGGAAACTTCATTATTTGGTGATATTAACGTCGTTTACTTTGGCCTCAAATTATTGACAGGCGAGGGTAACGTGAAATGTGCTGAGTTTGAAATAGGTGTCGCAGTACACGTGGGGACCGGCATATCGCTTATATTTGTAGCACTTGTTTCACTTTTATAACGAATATTAGTATATTCTCGACCTAAGTGAAGTGATTTCTGTAAGAACAATAGCAAATACACATTAAATTGATACACCGAAGATACTCAAACAATATTATCATAACAGAAATTTCATTAAATTACCTGCTCTGCTTGCATCCGTTGGGACACAGTTTCTATATAATGCAAAACAGCGAGATAAACGAATTTATATTGTGCTTCTGTTTGAACCATTCCCGATCTTTGCGAACGAACTCTCTGAATCGTTCTCTGAATATCAATTTCACAATCCAATCCTATTGAAATAATATATTTAAGAACTGTTTCAATTATTTTACAAGAAAATCAGATATCGAAACGAGAAATTACCATGACGCTTGATTTGATCGAGAATCATGTCAATAACAATAAACGTTCCGGTTCGGCCAATTCCAGCGCTACAATGCACGAGAATTGGTCCTATGCTCGGGACCGTTTGACCGTTTGAAGCGAGCGAAGCAGCGATCGATTCTTGTCTTGCATTCACATCATGAAGAAAGTTTAATACGCAACCAGGATCTGATGGTACACCATGATCAGGCCACGCCTAAAGTAATAACATGATTCATATATTTGCTGTACTTATACGACAAATTACTATCAGTACTGATAAGAGACCTGAAAGTGATAGTGATAAATCCGCCTGGATTCTGCAAAATTTGGTTTACTCCCATGCAGTAAGAACTCTCGTAATGTGTAATCGGCTGTTGAGGTACGAGATAAAGCGCGCACTTTCCATTCGCCGCCGTATTCTGCGACTTCACCTTCCTCCGGCCAGTACCGAGCGCACTTATTCTAAAAATCGCATCCTATTCAAAACCTAATTCAACATATGATTTTAAATTGCATACTTTTCCTCTCTCCATTTCTTTGGTAGTCATCACTATCACTCGCGTATTCTCCTGATATACCATGTGCCAGAAATCTTGTATAGTGTTTGGAAGGCAACCTTGCGTTGCGATATAACATTTATTAAAGGATCCTCCATCGTTGGTGGTATTAATTCCACCGATCTGTCCATCTCCTTCTTCGTTCTATAAATGTTTATATCAAAATGAAATGCGATATTCACAAATTCAATGAAGAGGTATATTTACCTTAATATAATTTGCATTAATGTAGTCAGCTCCGGGAATATTCGGATCAACGTCCTTTAAACGTACTCTTGTATGATCGACTGTGCAATAATTGTTTAAATAAAATTTAAGCATAAAAGATCAAGCTAAAGAAACTAAACGAAAAATCCTACATGGTAAAATGTTTTTGTATCGATTCTTCGCTCTGTTCTCGGTGCGTAAGCCTTCTTTCCTGGAAAACAAGTGTCGGCACTCCAACTGTTGCAATGACTCAAATTCTTCCCAGAATCCTGCTTTTCCTTTACCACGCCCTGCTCCACCTTCACCGCTACTCGTTGCTCCATTCCACAACCATCCATTTGAGCAACCATTTTCTTTATGCAATTGCCTAACTCTACTTTCGATACCACTAGCGTTTATGCGAGTAGCATTAAAGGGTTGCCTAAAAATTAATATATAAGTTAAGTAATATATAAGTTGTAAGAAAATATATATTTCACTATACGAATAACAGTTATCACAATCCTTACCGTAAATGGACAACACTGCCACTCGTTTCAACCATTGGATTGCGTTTGTAATGCTCTATCAAGTCACTTAAACTATCAAACTTATCACCTCCGCCAACATCGTATTTATTATCCTGCAATTTTTTGTCTCATGTAAAAAGTTTTCATGCTAGCGCGATATTACTAAAGATGTAGTAAAGATAAGTGATAAGAGATATAAAACATAATTAACCTGAGATCGTATTATAACATGTGTAACACGATCATCTGTGCGAACAGATAATACAAAGTCACCAGGTTTACTCTGGGATTCACGAACCAGAAAAGATCCATTTTTACCTCGCTCCAACATTAAACGTTCTGCTTCTTTAGCTGATAAATGGCCGTGGAACCACCTTTACCCATATTTTACTATTAACACATACCATGCTATATGCGTGCATTCGAAGTAACAATAGCAAAAAAGTATATCCAATGCATAACAAACTTCGTTGTAATCTTTATTAAGAAAAAATATTAACTGTAGATTCTGTTTCCACTAAACAAATACCTTTCAGTCGTCGGATCTGCACAATTCAATGGATATTTTAATTCGATAACATCTCCATTTTTTTCACGCAATTGTCCACCGTTTTCCATATAAAATTGTACAAGTTCAGATAGGGTTGCAAACTTTTCACCACCATAGAGATCATAGAAGTCTCCTGTATTCTGTATCTTAATATGAGTCACTTCACCATTTCGCCTGGAAACAAATATTGTATCACAGTTATCATCAAGCCAAGCAGTATTATACGAATAAGCAATCAATCTATGCAATGTATATGTATACCTAACAGATAATGTAAAATCGCCAGGATTTGATGAACTTGGACGTGCCAGAAATGAACTATCATAGCCCCTTTCCATTAATAAACGTTCTGCTTCTAGACCCGATATATTCGGATGAAACCATCTGCAACAGAACATACTTTGTATCATCGATAAATTTTTAAAACAATGGCAAGTATATAAAACACAAAATATGTGAACAAGAGAATATCAAATAGAAGCTGAAAACATTTAATTGTCAGAATGATATAATCTCATATAATTCCTTCATCACAATCTGTTGAATTCCTATATAATAATAGGATGAAAATTAATGAGCAGTATCATTAAGAAATAATGTTATTATGGATTGAATGTGATTAGTTGGAAACCTTCAGTTTGCAACTTGAAAATGTACATACTGTTGAGCAACGGAGAATGCACAGTATGTGTCCATAAAAAGAATATGCGTAAAACAAAATTATTATATCCATTTTTGGACATGAAGGATCCGACGGTGTTAATTGATTTAGGTGCATACGCATACCTTACCTCTGAGTATGTTTCGCTAATCCACGGCTAACACTGATAAATAGGCAGGCCTGTTCAGCGATCGTCCGTGAATTATGATAATTACATATTTTTTATGCAAGTGTAAAAACGTGCCTCACCTGCGAGATGCCATGTCGTGATTCCAACTATGACCAGCTGGTAATTAATAATTCATAACGCTTCATCGATGATCGCACTTTTAATTCGCAATTGTAATTAACTTAACTTTCAGCCGAACGCTAACTATACATCGTCACAATCTTTGACATACTCACTTTGTACACGAAAACAAAAAAGACTGAAACCACTAAAAGATTCTACCATTGATCTCCTGGAGTTTAGAGTGGACGCCTGCAAACAAACCGCTTGTCAGATCCGAACCAAAATCAATTTATGCCGGTTTCATACATTTTAAATCTACCATTTGATGTATAAAATTTCATTATATATACCTTTATTATCTAATACCTAGCGCTACGATATAATTTTATGTATATATTATACGATCTAAGAATAAAGTATATTAGCTAATTTAATGTGTATATCATCGTAAATTAATCTGTTATCATTGCCAAATTTGGGCATATATTAAAATAAGTGTAAAACAATACTTCTTTATCATACGTGTTATTAATTTTCTGTAATTTTGATAAATTGCGTTGCAATCTATAAATTGATCTATATATTTAAGTCATGCCACACCTGGTTCTAGCGGTCCTACACGCGGCGACGACGACGCAGCTGCACAAGTCTGGTATAGTATGTATAACTGATAACATGGTTGATTATTGACAACGCCGGGTGTTACTGATACGATATGACAGATCTGTACATTTATTAAACTACTTATCGTTTCAAGCAACATTAACAACAAAGCTCGCATGTGAAAATTATTCCGGTACTTATTCGTGTAACAAAAGTAAGGAACAACACTGTGTTCCTTTATGCGAAGATGGGTCAACACGTTTCAAGAACCGATTTCGAATGGGTGTACACGGAAGAGCCGCACGCTTCGCGACGTAAAATAATTTTAGGTATGAATATCGAATAATTGTGATTACTCATTATGTTTTATCGTTAGGTTTACTTTCAATAAGAATAATAATATATAATTACAGTTAATAGTGTGAATTCAATAAAAATCTAATACTTGCCGTTGTTATTTTGCTTTCAGAAAAATATCCGCAAATTACAAAATTATTTGGATACGATCCTAAATTCAAATGGGTGGTAACAGGAATGGTTCTAGTGCAGTTTATCTCAATGTTTTTTGTAAAGGATTTGAGTTATCCAATGTTGTTCCTCTTAGCATATTGTTTTGGTGGTGTAATTAATCATTCCTTGATGTTAGGTATGTAGAGAACAAATTTCTCATAAATATTTTTAAATTGTCCCATAATTATATAGATATGAATGTAATAATCAGTTTGATCAAAACTGTTATCTGATTATTACACTGTGATTCTAAGAGTAATGATTCATTAAGTTTTATCAATAGAGTCAAAGTCAAGTACTATTGTGACATATCAGTGATCTTATTTTGCCATATTTTCCATTAAGCTATATGTACACTTGTAACTTTAACACTTAAGTATATATTAAGTATATATTAATCATTGAATTGAATTTCATATGTTATTCTTTCATTCTAGCAATACACGAAATAGCCCATAATCTTGCTTTCGGCCATTCTAGACCTAGAGCCAATAGATTGTTTGGATATTTTGCTAATTTACCTATAGGTATTCCTGTATCTGTTAGCTTTAAAAAATATCACCTTATACACCATCGTGTAAGTACAGATAAAGTAAGAGTCACTAAACAAATATTGGATGAAACAATATATACAAAATTACAGTATCAAGGTGATGAGAAGCTAGATACAGATTTACCAACGTTATTAGAAGCAAAATTATTTTGTACAACATTTGGGAAATTGTGTTGGTTGGGTCTACAGCCGTTCTTTTATGCGTTTAGACCTCTTGTCGTTTATCCATTAGCACCAACGGTAATGGAATTTATTAATTTGGCAATACAACTCACTTTTGATGGATTGGTATGGTATTTCTTAGGTAAGCTTCTTAACAGAGATAGGATCTTAATAGCTATATAAATCATGTTACATGTAGTTACACGTGCTGTGCAGGTGGAAAAGTGTTAGTTTACTTGCTCTGTGGGTCAGCAATGGCAATGGGTTTGCATCCTGTAGCCGGTCATTTTATATCAGAACATTACATGTACAGAAAAGGCCATGAAACTTATAGTTATTATGGTCCATTAAACTGGATTACCTTCAACGTTGGATACCATAATGAACATCATGACTTCCCTGCTGTTCCTGGCTCGAGATTACCAGAGGCAATTATAATTTCCTGTAATAAGTTGAAGGCAATACGTAATGCTCAAAGTTTAAATTCTGTTATCCTTTTTTAGGTGAAACGAATAGCTCCTGAATTTTATGAAAATTTACCACAACATAACTCGTGGGTTTCGGTTTTGTATGATTTTGTTATGGACCCTGATATTGGCCCATATGCAAGAATCAAGCGCAAACATAGAGGTCTATCCTCATAAAAATTTAGATAGCCCCAAGTTTTTTATCAAACAATAATTAGCATCTGGAACTTATAACACTGTATGCATATTTTAAACGTAAAAGTTATTACTGCTAATTTATTGGGATATATATATCTATATATGCGGTATTAATAAAAAGATCCGAATATTTATTCATCATTGGAATGATATAGTGAATGGGACATTTAATTACAAATCATATTTAGCATGTTTCATTGAAATATATATGAGATTACACGAGTGAAAGATGCTAAACTAGTAAACAATTTCCTATTTCGTAGAGTCTGTAAATAATTGTAATAAAATAACAAAGAAACTAATCTATAGATAATACTATAGATAATAAATGATCAGGGATATTGCTATGATACATGTATACCT